AAACCTAGGGAGATATAAAAGAACCTGCAAATTGGAGGGTGGGGGCCGGCCAACCTCGGGAAGGTTAGAAAGCGGCCTCTACCTTTTCTAATGTAGATTAATGACTCGCTCAGGCAAGCAGCTACAAACTTGCCAAATGTGCTGACCGCCAGAAATTAGCAAAGGTGGTGACTAAGGAAGGAAGAAAAATAGAAAAGGAGCCGAGTCTGAATGTGCCTCACTCATCCCGGGCTGACATATGACGAATGAAATCAACGGCGACAAAGAGAGAGCAACAAGTACGCGGGTGATTGTGACTGCTCTCCAGTTCCGATCGCGTGGTTGCTGGGAGGCCCCTGGGGCAGCAACGGACACGCGCTCGCACACGCACGAGCCCCACGCGCATCCTCCTCGCGCACGCGCACAGCGACGTGCGCGCAGTGATCTCTCTTTCAACCAGGACAAAGTTAAGTGTCCCCAGAAATTAAAATAGATTATCCTGGACTCCGGTAAAACTTAGCTCAAGCATCACTATCTGTTCTGGTCACCACCTTAGAAAAATGTTATTAATCTAACACTTGAAAGGTACTAGGAAAAGCACACAGGCTGATTCTGACTTAGAAGTCAGAGTGTCCTTAAAAGGGCTACATACATACAGCTTAGGAGGGAAGAAAAAGAAAAGAAATGGGAAAAAATTCCATGAAAAGTATTTAGGATCTGAACTGTTTGTGGGGTGGATGAATCTCTGACGGCAATAGAGCAAAACCAGAAGCAATACTGAAGGATAACTTGAGTAGCTGAATTTTCTTTTCCCAACAAACTAAATATTAATTAATTATGGAGGGAGAAGTATGTGTATACAAATTGCAACCAAAAAACAAAAACAAAAACAAAAAACCGAGCCCCAAACTCACAAGCATATCAGTATTTTCCTGTAACTTGATGAAAATAATAGACTAGCATAAATTTACCTATTGGGGTAGGCTCCCTAATTGTATTTCTCTCCAAGATTCAGGACAATATTCTTATACCTGATTTTGTTTTTCCATTTTTTAAAGGCAAATTCAATAGTGAGTAAAAAATCTTTTTTAAAATATTGATATCTTTAAGAAAAACCATATGGAATGATGGTATTCTCCCTATCTTACTTTCTTAAAAAAAGTTTTTTAAATTAAGATAAACTACACATGAGGGCTTTACTTCATTCCAAGACTTGTTAACTAGTGCTGATTCTGGATTAGTCCGTGCCTTTGGATACAGATTTTTTTGAACAAATATTTTCAAGAAGCTGTCTGAGATTACATGAAAACACAAAACCTGCCATTCTGAATACATGTCAGTTTAAAGGTCTCATAACCCAGGGGCACCAAGAGCTGTGGCTGGGCACTGATGTCCTCTGTATTGTTCAGCCTCCACAGTGAGACATTACCCAAATATTCCTTTGGCTGTCACCTGGACTCCTTGGAAAACTGACAGATGTGTTTCCAAGTCAGGGCACCCGGCTCCTTCTGACATTACCATGCATCAGCACCTACTGCCTCCTGGGCCCTGTGCTGGTTCAAAGTGGATGCGCCCCAGTCCTTTTCACAAGGACCTGACCGGGTACCAGGGAAATAACGACAAGGTCACCCATGATGGTTTGGATGCTGTTTTAACAGCTACTGTTGGCTGAGTCATTATGACGTGCCAGCACTGTTCTTTAAAAGGCCCATGTATCCCTCAAAACAAAGTAAGACTTATTATCATGAGTCAGAGAAGAAGACGTAGGCTTACAAAACTTAAGCAACTTGACTGAATGTTGTGTCCTCCCCAAATTCATACACTGAAGCCCTAAGCCTCAATGTGATGGTATTTGGAGGTGGCCTCGTAGGGAGGTAATTAAGTTTAGAGGAAGACTTGAGAGTGGGGCCCCCACATTGGGATTAGCATCCTTATAGGAAGAGGGAGAGAGACCAGAGCTCTCTTTCTTCACCATGGGTTGACAGAGAGAGAAGGCAGCCTCCTGCAAGCCAGAAAGAGAGCCCTCACCAGGCACTGAATCTGCCGGCACATTGACCTTGGACTTGCAGCCTCCAGGATGGTGAGAGATCCATGTCTGTTGTTTAGGCTGCTCAGTCTACAGTGTTTTGTTACAGAAGCCTGAGCTAAGACACCAAGACAATGCTTAGGAAGTGCAGACTCAAGAGTCAAACCCAACTGGCTGGACCCCATCCCAGTAGATAATGCCGAGATGGCAGGGTGTGTGTTCTCAGAGCAGAAATGAGGCTGAGACCTGGAGCAAGAAGTTCTCCTCATTGACTGAGACATCATCCATTCCAACTGGCTGGTGCTCACCAGTTCAACTGTTAAAAAAAACAGACACTCACCCAACTTGGGAGGTCCTTGGTAAAGAGAGATGGCTCTGACTCAGCCTTGGATGGTGAACAGCCAGCAGGCAGTGTTCAGGAGTCTGGGCAGAGGGAGCAGCCTGAGTGAAGGAGGGCGGGGGTGGGGGAGAGCAGGATGCTTACACTAGGGGATCATCATCAGTTTTGACCGACTGCAGGTCCACTTTGCATGTGGGGTGACAGAGTAGGGGAGGCAAGAAGGTCGAGTTCTAGAGGCAGAAGCTTTGTACACCAAGCTGGAGTCTCTGAAGAATCATTTGTGTCTCATCCAAGTATCACTGGATATTCAATACAGCAACACACTACACAGAGTTCCCAAGATGTCACTCAATATTTATTAAACACACTTCAAGGCTCTACAGAAATGATGAAACTGAGCAAGGTGTTTACTGCCTACTGGAGGATAGGTAATTGCAAAATGAAGAAAAATGGGTAGAGATGGATACGTGTCAATCTTAGGATATGTGAAAACCTTTAAACATCTCAGAGAAGGTTATATAAATCAAATTCAACTGGCCTTCTCTTGGAAGGACGCAGAGGGCATGTGGACACCAAGTGTCCCCTCTTCTTGAAATCCCACACTGGATTCAAATAAGATGGCAAGAATGCCTTTTTGGATGCATGTCCCTGTGGTACCTTTGACACCATTTTTTATAATATCACTCTCACCCCTTTCAAAGCTCATCTCCTGCGTTAGGCTGGGGGCTGGGGAAAAGCAGATTTGCAATATGGAGTTCCATCTTACAGTTAATATCCCTGGAAAGGAGATGGTGCCAAGCATCTACCCACACCTTTCCATCCTGCTCTGCATCCTAGGGGTGGGGGTGATATGCCTGGACTTCATCAATAGGGTCTCTTGGCCCTTGGCTTCCAGTTGGGTAGGCCAATGGAGACAAATGTAACAGACCCAAAGGAGGGAGGTTTATCACCCTGGTGTCCTCTTGGAGGCCCTCTGACAAGCTGGCTGTGTCCCTTGACTTACAGGCCACGTTCCTTCTCAAGACTGCCTTCTCTACACCATGCTGTCACCTTTTCCCTGCCCTCCTCCCTTTGGGCTATGGGGTGAGAACAGCTCTTAGGATCCTGCATTTTCCATGCAGCTCCCCTACGCCCAGATCCCACCTTCATAAATGACATCCTTAAAATACCCTAACTAGAATGGCCATCGTCTCACGTGGGGACCCGACCTGATAGTGTAGCTGGAGAAACAAACTGAAGAACTCTGAAATTAATGAGTGATAGCTAACATTTTCCAAAGTGATCTGAAGCTTTATCGACTTAAAAGGCAATTAAAAATTTTAAAGGAAACAAATGAAGGGAGAAAGGCAGAAAGGCAGGCAGGAAGGAAGGGAAAGAAATGAAGGAGGGAAAGAAAGGACAGAAGAGAAGCAGAGGTAGTGAAGACACACCTTGACAGCTTCTAAATGACCTTCTAGTACCTGCAAATGTTAACTCCCTGAAGTGGGAAATCCAACCCAGGGGGCCGATGAGTCACAGAGAGGATAGGCCACCATGAATTAATTAGCAATTACAGATTTCTTTAAAACTATAAACTTTGTGTGAATGTACATGTGCACACAGGTACATCCCCATTCAGAGTGTCACAGAACACTAATTTCCCCAGATTCTGAGTTACCAAAGTCCCTCCAGACTTTTTAACTGGTTGTTCACACTCCATTTTCTGTAATTCAGAAGACGAGAGAAGCCAGGTCTCCCCCTAGCACACTGCTTGTCTGTCCCTTTCTTTGTAAGTGTCTGGAACACAATACAAGTTACTAACAACCAGGGAAGCCCCTCCACGTGTCCTAAGTTCTCCAAATATGCTCCTGGCCTCAGAAGCCCGTGCTCTGCCTGTGATATCTTCTCAGCATCTGAATGCCCGGTCCACGCACGGTTACTGTCTCTCCTGGCATTACAACAAAACAACGGAACACTTGTTCTTTTGGATCTTGGGCTGTCGTTTGTCTTTTTTAATGGAGTTTGTTTTGTTTTTTTTCCTCCTGCATAAGATGATTTGTCTCCAAAAAGAAAGTCTTAATCTAGTTATTCCTTCAGAGGAGAGCAAATCCAGTTTACATCCCCGCCCCCCTCCATGCTTGATATTATGACCGACTTCAGGCGGGATCAGACGTGCTTAACAATTAGAACCCAGTGTCCCATTCAGCAGGTAAGAGTCACTGGGAAGAGATTGCTGAAGGCAAAATTTCCACTGATGCAGAAACTGTCAAGGTAAACATGGCGGCTGTGAGAGATGCTTTAATCAGCTGACTGTTACTTTGTTTTGCCAATAAGTATGCCTCCAGGAGTCCCAGGTGACACACAGCGTTCCCCTGATACTTCCTGGCAATGTTTCCTGTACGGACAAGTCACGTTAGATGATTCATTATGAACCGCCAGAGTGTTGCCATTTCTCAGATGTGGGAAAACCAACTGTGGCTGGCTGTGGGCACACAGATACACTGGCTCCCCACACATGGCTGGGTATGTGATTGGGCATTCCCTTATATGTCCTAGGGGGGCTGTTCTTTAACAGATCTAGGCGCAGACTGCAGATCAGCTGGGAACAAAGCTATGTTCTCATAGGAATTCTTGAGTATCTCAGCATAGTATTGAAAATGTAAGGTGGTAGGGGTGACCAGAGCTCCGAAGGACAGTACCAAAGGGCCTTCTAATACAGCTGTAGGAGGGTTCACCTTCCCAGTACTTCTCACTCATTGGTTAAAGGTTTTGGAAATTTGCATAAGGGGCAGGGGGATGATCTGGAGACAAAGGAAATGAGACCGCATCCATTTCCCTCTAGAGGATCCATGTCTTGGTTCCTCAGGGGAGAACATGCCTTAACGTGGGTGAGTGTTATCTGCTGACCCTGGAAAGAGGCAAGCTGAAGTGCACGTGCGACCGACCTACTGCACGTGGTAACAGTGACCCAGGAGTTTACAAGAGCTCCCCGCAGGGGGCACCTGGATGCGCAGGGCACATCAACCTCCCCTTCCTTTTTCCCTGCCCAGGGAAGCTCTAGAAGATTGTCATCACAGCTGCGGGGGCAAAGGGAGCCGAGGCAGCCTGTGAGTCCAACAGGGTGTTCTCTTTCCAGAAGGCGCCTGGAAGCAAGGAGAGCCCTTCTGCACTGGATTAAATCTCTGGGATTCTTGCAAAACTGATGGGAGGATGGAACAAAAGGTGGCACTAAAAACCAAAGGAAAGGTAGGAAGGGATAGTGGCTGGGGCACCAGAGTAATTGGGGTGGAGGGACGGGCTTCAGTTACCAACCTGAAAGTTAAGAATAGACTTTTATCTCATTTATAGCTGCTGGGGAGGCTAATCATGTCAAATACAATTAAAACATTTTCATTCAAAAGATGACTTTTTTTTCCTCCCTAGAATACCATGGTGGATTTTTTTTAGATCCCCGTTGGCTTTGCTTTGGTTTCTATTTCCCCTGCCAAATACCTGATTTCTAAAAACATTCTGCTGAGACATCCATTTCAAGTAACAGGACATATGGTCTAAAGCAAACCATCCAGAAGCATGTGCACACTTTCTCCTCTGACTTGAGACTGACTGCCTCTGAGAAGGGAGTGGGGGCGGGAAACGGGAAGGAATGGCTCTCTCCAAGTGTGGAACACCCTGTATCCTTGGGGCTCCGTGGTGTCCCGTTAGCTACAGTCAGTATGAAGCCTGCGACCTGCGGGGCCATAAAACTCGCCATAACAATTCAGCAGGTGCTGAGAGTTCTCCTAAGTACATTTAGATCAAGTGCGTGACATTTCCCCCTAATGGTGGTGTTGGCTAATGGCCTAAAAGAATTCAGATGGCTCCACCAAGTTACACAATGGCATTGCATTACGTACGTTCCAATGAGTGGCTATGGTTGAGGTTGATGGGTGGACATAGTCTAGCACTTTAGGCGGGGGGTCAAGACCACACACAAGGACATTGGGAAAATTAGACTGTTCAAGACTCAGTTTACTCATCTTTGAAGTGGGGATATTAATAGAGCCCACTTAGGTCTTCTGTGAAGCTTATATGGGATAAATGCTTGGCTCCATGCAGGAAATTAGAGGCGATGGCCTGTTTTCCTATTGGAGCTTATGTTTAAATCAATGATGCATTGATGAAAAACTTTCTGCTTCCCACATTCATGAATAGACTTCAGTCTCCTTCTCCTGATGGTTTGTGACTTTTCTAGCATGAGAACACTTTTTATGACATCAGAAATTCACAGACATCAGACTTTTAGTAACCACTGACTGAGTCAGTACATAATAATCAAATGATGCTATGAATTCAATACTGCTTCAAAATGAATTTCTATTTAACACGGCACAATAGCTTTTCCCACGTGTGAGAACTATTTGCGCCTACACATAAGACCTATTGCGCATTCCATCTAGAATAGAATGCTTGCAGCGTCTATGGATTTGAAGAACCCTTACAGGAACTTCTGGGTACCAGGGGAATTCACAGTCCTGAGGAGTGAATCTGTGCTCTCAAGGAGGACCAGAGGTCTGGGGTTTTTCTTGGTACCTGAGGAAGAGGAAGTTTAGAGAGGCTGACAGAGGGGATGACATGAAGGCTGAATTCTCTGGATGCTAAAAAAAAAGAAAAAGAAAAAGAAAAAGAAAAAAAGGTAGGGGGTAGTTACTGCAGGGAGTTCAAGAGTTCAAGTTGGTTGGACCCAGGCTCTACAAAGCTCTCCCAATGGGAAGAGGGGATGCCTTTCAACATGCAGGGCTCTGGGAGCAGATGGGGCATCTGAGCTGTTTGACTTTAATTCCGGAGTGAACATGGGAAGAAAATAAAGAGGAGAACCAACCTCTAAAGCAGTGCTGGCCAATGACACTTTCTGCACAATGGAAATGTTCTATATGTGTGCTGTCCAATATGGTAGCCACGTGTAGCTACTGAGCACTTGAAATGTGGTCCGTGCAAGTATGGAGTGACTTTTAAAATTTTTGATCGAATTTTAATTCATTTAAATTTAAATAAATACAGGTGGCCAGTGGCTACCACATGAGACAACACTGCTCTCACGTTTGTTCCAGCCGGTCTGAAAGATTCTGATTATGTAACAGCAAGCAGCTTCCACTTTGGGAGAATCGGCTAATGGCTGTTAGAGGCTGGCATCCCTCAGCCTAAAGAAGTATTTCTTTCCAGAAGCCATAAAACGCTCCTCGGTAAAACTGAGTTGCTTTACCCTGTGGCACTCTGCTTTGGCCACACTGGAATCGGTTTTTAGCCACTGTTATTAATTAGATACAGTGTAGAAGCAAAAACATTGAAAATAAACCTGAGCCCTGGATGTTAAAGCTGTCATTTTTTTACATGGCCTCATGATTCAACGATTAATGGACCTTAAAACAATCATAAAACACCAAGGCCCTTGCTGAAGCTTAGAGGAACAGGGATAGTTTTACTTCTGCGCCAGTCTTCTTGTTTTAAATTCATGAGGTGTCACCGAGCTCTGTAAACACTTTTAACTATTTTGACATTGTGGTATGAGATGCTGTTAATCTGTTTCCTCCCTGACCTTCACTGGACAGCAGCAGGCTGCAACTCAGATGCAGATTCATAAAAACAGCAAGGTTGGACTCAGTGACACAGATGAGGACACAGCAAGCCTGAAGAATGGCTATAATGTGCACATCCCGATTCAATAAACTAACTCACCAAAGATTTATTGAGCATCCAAGTCTTCACCAAGCACTCGGTGGACACTTGCACATATATTTGATTGGTACAATCCTCAGCACAAAGGCATGGGGTCAGTACGCATGTCCCCCATTTTATAGATGGACACACTGAGGCCCATTCATGCAGTTAGCAACAGGCAGAGGTGGGATTCAAAACTAGAATTTCTGACTCTTGAATAACACTTTCTCCAATACACCACTTCAGGAGAGTAACCTTTTGCTTATGATCTGTGGCAGACTGTAGTTTTCAAAAGTGGCCTCAGCCTTATTTCCTGCTCCACACTGTCTTCCAGGACCTTTCCACTGGCCCATCAAGAGGTAGGATCTATTTCTTCTTTCTGTAAACCTATATGTAGGCCTTTGTGACTTCCTGGACAAAAAGAATGCAGAAAACCAACCTACATGACTTCTGTGGCTAGGTCATAAAAAGGAATACAAAGTCAGCTTGGCTCTCTCTTGGGACATTCACTCTTGGAACCCAGTCGCCATGTTGTGAGGAAGAGCAAGCTACACAGAAAACTATGTGTAGACGTTCTAGCCAATAGTCAGGATCGTCCCCTGGATTTACGGTGAACAATGTTCAGATGATCCCAGTCCCCAGCTTTCAAGCTGTCTTCTCAGCTGATGCTGACTGGAGCACAGACGAGCTGCTCCCGCCAAGCCCAGCTGAAACCACAGATTCACGTAAAGGCTGTCACTTTAAATCACTAAATTTATGGATGGCTTGTTACATGACAAAAAGTTACTGGAATAGGGTCAAATTTTAATGAAACTCAACAGAATAGGCAAATGCATTAATTCCCTCAGCAAAAACATCCAACAGCTAGATGATGAGTTCCCATGAAAGTAAGTCTGGGAGGAAAAAGATGCAAGTCTTGGCTACAGAGAAACACTGAGAATCTGGAAAGCTTATTATACCAGGGAATTAAATCGAACTTTTGAAGGGAAAGAAAACAGAATGCCTAGTGAATATATTGCAAAGTTCAGATTCATGGGATTGTATGTTTATTGTTTGACTGCAAAGATCTATCTAGAGCCTCAGATGGCTTTGGCCTAATTGGCTAATTTGGCTCTGAAAAACTTCGTGGTTTAAGTGGATCTGCTATCTCTGGGGCAGAGGGGAGAAGGGGGCATAAGGTTTATTCCACAATGTTCAGAAGATGAGAAGAATGCTGCTGGAATGCTAGAAAAGGGATCCAAATAAGGCAGGAGAGCATCCTACTCATTTCTCTATTCCCAGACTTGACACAGTCCCTACCAGTTTCCAGAGGAGTTAAAGTCATCTTCAGGGAGATACAGGTGTACAGACAGTTAAAGGATGTTGGCAAATCATGACAGTGACTTGTTTTTCTTTTTTATTTTTTTTTTGAGGGAGAGGCAATTAGGTATATTTATTTTTAGATGAGGTACAGGGATGGAACCCAGGACCTCATGCATGCTAAGCATGCACTCTGCCACTTGAGCTATACCCTCCCCCCGATGATAGTGACTTCTATTTGACACTCACATGTTTCACCAAAATGAGAGGTTGTTTATGTCTTAGCAATGAATAACCTAGACTCCAACGTGGAACCTGTCATTTTCTACACATCCTTGGGGAGGATCTTCTCCATGTCGTCTTGTGGTCCACCAGACAGAAGTGCTGGTGAACTAATCAGATTCCTTTCAAATATATTTTGTCTTCTCTTGTTAAGATTCCTTTGCTTATCTCAAATATTTTACAGTCTATTTCTTCAATTTTTATATTTTGATAGTAATCTTCTGAACTTCATTTATATGACTATACACACACTCACACACCTTTTTATTTTCAAGATGTGCTGCAAATATCAGGAGAAAGAGACATTTTGCATGAGCTTCCCAAATACAGATGGAAACCACCCATAGGTATCGGGAGCAATATTTAAATCTTTCAGGAGCTGTTACTTTTGAAGAAATTTAGATTAATTGGGTTGCTTTTAAAATCGGCAGCACTGGCGCGGTTACATCCTTAGAATCACAAAACGCCTAAGGTATAAACAGGATTTTTTTTCTCCTTTTTTATTGATGGCTGTGAATTTTCTATGCACACCTGTACTATCAAGGTAACTTTTGCTATAAACAGCATTTTAAAATTATCACATAAAAAACTATCAAGCACTAAATTAGAAAAAAACAGAAATTCGAAAGTGATAGTTAAATTTATGAAGCAATTCTGCTACACTCAAAGGCTCATTGCTTGACGTGTAAAAAATTTTGAGCTGCGTGGAAGGCCTGGGTCGGAATTTCTCTCCAGTGGGGGAACCACACTCCACACCAGGCTCCAAATGAGAGCCTCACACAGAACACATGCGCTTCGGATGTGGGCTTGTTTGCATGACTAATAGCGATAATATTAAAAGTCTTTTCTCATCATTTCAATTCTTTTTTTTTTTTATTTGGCTGCGTGCCTCTTTTTTGCTACCTCCAAGAGCTGTTAATTTTGCTCGCTGCTGAGCAAAAGTCAAAGTCAGAGTCTAAACAGCTTGTAATGAGTTTTCAATGGCCCATCTCAATGAAATTGAGGGCAAAGACCAGCCGGCCCAGGCACTGTCAGCCCTCGGAATTTATTAGCGAGGGTGAGTCGTGTTCGGGGAAGGCACAGCGGAGGAGGGATTGAAGTTCCTCAGCTCTCCGAGAGGAGCCGGGCCCTTATTAAAAAGTGGTGACGGCAGACTGTTCCAGCAGGGCACAAGCCATCACCCCGATCTGCCACCAGCCGCCACTGCGGCAGGTCAGACCTGGGTGGGAAGTCAAGGGGAGAGAAATCTCTTGTGAGAAAGAAGAGTTTCCATCTTACTCCTATCTGTCTATAACCCCACATTTGATCCACAAAGAAAGAGATGCTCCTTTGTTCCTCAAGACACACAAACATGCATACACACACACACACACACACACACACACACACACACCTGTCTCCATCTGCTGATGGCGATTTACGCAAAATGAGGCAGTCTTCAATTCCGAATTCTGACTTTTATTTGTTCACTTCTGTTTAACTGCCTCTGTTGCACTCGTTTCCAACAGATCCCTTACGATTTTACTCCCAAGAACACCCTTTTAGAATCGTGCAGTACTTTTCCTGCACAAATGCAAAATCTCCACATAAAACAGAATTCCGCATGAGCCTGACAAATAAATTCTGCCCTTGAGAATGGAGATCAATTTGACAATAGCTTCTCTGGCCAAGAGAAATGCACTGCAAAATCACGGAAACTTAACACAGGAGAGTGAGGTGGCGGCTTAGGGGTAGTGGGTAGGGACATGACTTCCGTGCAGTCACGTTTTTATTTTGTGCTAAGGGCTGACATATCCTGTGAGTGGAATAAATTAAGAATGTCAGGTCTTACAAGACAAATTTTTTCTATAACTGATATTAAATTATGATATATATCATATATATATACACACACACACTTTTTTTTAACAGAGCACCCACTAAATGCCAGCCGTCACAGTGCAGGTAGCAGGAATTCTCTGGCAGGCCTGGTAATGAAAGTCCACTTAACTCCTTCCTTCACCCATTCATCCATTCATTCACTGATTCAGTCAATCACAGTTTCACATAGATTTAATTAAGTAGGTGCCTGGAACAAAGTTAAAGACTAGAATGTATGGTCTCTGCCCTCAAGCTAATTTAAACTCCAATGCCAAAGAAAATTATATATTAATATAATGGATTTCCAAATCCTTCCTCAGCCCACTAGCTTCCTGTTTATTTAAATAGACTTGTTTTCCCAGCATTCACCTGGTTCCCTTCCATTCATCGAACTACTCTTAACTCTCTGCGCTATTTCTTGTCCCTTTCCACATCGTCAGCAATGCTGGAAAAATTAAACATGCGCTGTACGTCTAACACAGAGCCTGCATAGGAGTGTGGTGTCTGCATTTAACAAATATCGACCCCAAAGACCCCAAAACCCCCCAAACCCGATGCTCTTTGTGTTTAACATGTCCCTGCATCTAAAAAGCTTCTCTGGTCTAAGAGTGAGAATCGCTCATATGCACATCTGAGTCATTTTCACAGTGACAATAATGCTAATAACAGTAAGAAGTAAGCGGAAGCAAAAGCAATTACTCTGCCAGACTCTGTGATATACCCTTTAGATGTCTTATCTCATTAAATTCTCATTGAACCCGCAAGTCAGGTACTATTTTTATCCCATATGCTGGTAAAAGTTTGACAGAGGTGAAGTGATTTACTCCAAATCACAAAACCAGTGCATCTGAGATCAGGGGATTCTGACTTCAAAAACATACAAGATAACACAACCCTGTTTAGATCGTAAATCCCACCTAGCTTTAATCTTTTGAGTGAGAACTGAAATGTCTCTTTGTCTGCAAATGAAATGTAATTGATCCATAGACACTAAGAACGGCAGGGACTAAGGGTGTGTGTGCGTGTGCTCAGAAGAGCTCTGTTTCCAAAATTCACCACCAACTTTACAACTGCAGGAAACTTTGTCCAGAAGCATCCTGAAGGGGAGAAACTGCAAGTCTGGAGTGAGAGTTCAAGGTTCCTCCTCCCTCAGTTAAGGACCATTCCTTGTCAGTTTTGACTGCTTTCAAATGCTTGGGGCTCTAATATCCTCACTGGAAGTTAAAATCCTAAGTGTTTTTAAAACATGAGAAAGACAGAGAATTATATATACAGCTGCCCAGAAAACGGCAGCACAGAAGAAATCAACGATTACATGGGGCAACATTTATGCTGGCAGTTGCTGTATTTTACAAAACTTCCCTAAGAGAGCTTGTGGCTTAATGTTTTATATTGGGGAACAACCTCGCTATAATGTTCTAAACTATCATCTTAGGTTGCAAACCATTTAGCAAAGGAATCAAACGCAAATCCTCTCAGTCAGGACAGTCTCTGCATGGAAATGCAGAGGCGAATTCTGACCGCACAGCTTACCCATTCCCCAGCCCCCCCAATTCTTAGGAGAAGGAAGAAACTGAGAGAGACACCCTCTTTGGGGCGATGTTCACACCCATTGTCTAGAGGTTCCTACAGAATCAGAATCTGCAGACATCACATCACTCCCTCTGGTCACTGTTTTCCAAGCAAAATCTCAGAGCAACATATCTGTCTTTGTGTTGAAAGCACATGACATGTGTTTATGGAAAACCTGGTCCTTCCCTGACATTCCTCTGAAATACCCTGGCTGAAAAGCCCGACCTTTTTTTTTTTTTTTTTTGCCATGGAACAGTGAACATTTATACAATCATTAAAATCGCATCTACCACCATATTTTTTCTCCTTCTCAGTTTTAATACATTTTTATAATTGCATTGAAGATATTCTAACCCTGTTTTTAGTGCAAAGATAAAATTTACGAACCATGACAAACGTATCATCTCAGAGCCAACCCGAAGGATAACGATGTGTCTGGCGAAACCAAAGTGTGGGCTCCCTTCTGCCATTTTAACCGGACAGAAGATGAAAAGAGTTGATCCGAATGCCAATCCTCGAATTCCAGACGTGGGGGAGGTTCCCAACACACGTCCGAAAGCCAGGACGCATTTCAAGGAAAGGTGCTCATTCACAAAAAATTTTTCTGAAGTTATGCACATACACAGAACTCTGATGAATATGTATTTTCCATTTTTTTTGTTCGCTATAGTGCTGTCAACACAACCAAAAGTATCTAATTAGATTTGTTCTCTCCATGACTCATCCACTTCTCCCTTTCTCTTTCTCCATGTTTCCTTTAAAGTATGTCTTTCAAGGATGTAAAGAGAGGGGGCATAACGGGGGAGCAGAGCAAAGGAGAGCAAGTGAGAGCCAGAGGAGGTCAAGTTCAGAGTTCAGCTGGGCCAACAGGGAGCTGGGTGACCTTGAACCAGTTCCTTCATCTCTCTGGGCTTAGCTCGCCTCATCTATATGAGGAAGAATTTGGAGAGGATTTCTGAGCTCAAAAATGAGATGTCACAAAGAGATTATTTAAAATAAAACAAAATACCTCCAGTTTTCAGATTATAACACAGGTTGAGAAAATCACTTTTAAAGGAAAATCTGAAATGTTGATGAGCTCTTAAAAATTCAGCAACCACATTGGTTTGAATGTGTGTTTACAAACCCAGATGGACACCATGAAATACGAAAAAGGTTTTTATAAACATCTGCCCTGGGATTTTCATTCCTCCTTGTAGAGGGTACCCTGGCCATGAACTCGCCGCTGAAAAAAAACAGAACGAGAGAGAAGACTAACTCCAGGTGAACTTCTCTGCGCTGCCTCCCTTTTTCTTTAGAAACTTAAGAGTTTTACATTATTTTCTAACCTTACATAATAGCCTGAATAAGACACAAACGCGAGGGACCATAATGAAGTGGAGGTAATCTACACAATTTAAAAACACTTATTGTGACAAAATGGATTGACGAGGTACGGCCGATACAAGCACACATAAATGAAATGCATCCCACCGGAAAAGCATTTTGCTCACATTGTCATTTACGGCTCCTGAATTAATAGACCAAGAAAGACACCACCAGCCCCAACAAAATGCCGTAAAACCACTGGCAGCTAGTGGTGTCTCAAACTTTAATTCCCCCGGGGAGAAAAGGACACAGCCTAATCTGTATTCAGTCCTGACATTGGCCACATCTGATATGGAACATTAGCTTCTAAGTCTCTCAATAGACTAGTGTCCTTCAGTTTATATTACTTTATGTTAATAGTTGAAAAATTACACACAACATCATTTATCATTGTTATACTCTGCTATACATCCCATGGCTTATTTTAATATATTTATTTACCCCTGAGACGGTGAGAAATTAAAAATATATATGTATCAAGAAAAACCTATAGGGAAAGAATCACTGTAAATCTCTTTTGAAAAAAAAAAAAAGACAACCGAAAAAACCAACCCGCCCCCCCACAAAAAAATCCTTCCTTGGGGGGAGAAATATTTGGCTGAGCTTGGGGATGATAAGGTCCTTCCTGCCTAAGGATGCACGTACGGGCTGCGCAGTAATTCCCAGAGCATGAGTACATAACAAAAAGCGGCGTATTAAGGATAATATAGCTTTTGTTCCCTCATCTCACCAGTGTTTTTCATTTGTCGATTATATCCTGGGGTCCCTCTCGTTCCGTTATTAGCTTTTTTGACATCTGACCTCTAGCCAGGGAAAGGCAAGTTTTTTTTTTCCCCCTTTGAAAAGCACTGTCAATCTGAACCCAACACTCACTCTTTTTGACCCAGATTCCACTAGCACAGAGCGGGACTCAGTTTGGATTAAAAACAGCAATGATGTCCTTGCGTTTAGTGCCTTAACTTCCACAGAGCGGTTTTGCCGACATTATAGAGGCAACGTACTGGGTTTAAAGGAGCCCCAGCCTCGGTACCAAGGTGTCTGGATTTCAGTGTAGGCTCCATTCATCTTCTCTGATAGAATGTGGGCAAATCACCCACCTCTCTGAGCCCCAGTTTCCTGAGAAACAAAAGGATAAGTGTGGACTTGATGAACTGAGATACCTCAGAGCTTCAGTGACTTTGCGGGGTCGGGGGCAGGTGTTGATTTTTCTGTGATATTACTTATTTCTCATCACAGTCTCATGAAGCCGGACAGATGTTCCTATTTTTCAGATGAGCAAACAGAAACTCGGGAATATTGACTTGGCTGGGGTGGTGCCAAGCTGGGACCGCAGCAGAATCAAGAGTGGAAGGGGGGCTGCTCAGACCCTGGCCTGGACGAACATCTCTGCCAGTGAGGGTCACTGGGATGGAGCCACTTTAGGGATTTGGGGAGATGACTGTAAGCTTGTGGTTATCAGGGCTGCCTCTTTAAATCTGATATTCATTCATTTTCCACCACGCTGACACCTACAAACAAAACTGCGTACCTTGACTAACGCATGGTTACACAATTTTTTCTTCTATCTTCTTGTGCAGGAAGGGGTGGCTGTCTTGAGACAATCTGTTCCCTTTCACAGGTACTCTTGGTTACAAGGTACTTTCCCAGATTATGTCAGGTCATCCTCACCCAACACAAGTCGGCAGGGTGGGTACGATGTGCCCACTTCTATTGATAAGGAAATCTAAGACAGAGATATTCACTGAGCAGCCGGAGCTCACCCAACAATGGCTGAATGGCTGAGCCAAGAACTGAAGCACAGTGCTGGCTCCCAGCCCAGGCAGGGTGCTTTCTAATACACTGCAGTGATACTAATAAACAGATACATTTGTGATGAATATGGACAATAATTAATTTTTTCCAAAAGGCAAAATAAAGCTGGTGTCATTTATACAAGGCTGTGCACTTTAAAAGCAATACAGTAAGCAATCAGTGCTAGAGAGCAAGGCAGAGAAGGCGATCTGTCATGGACTATGTTCCTCCTGTCTCCTGAAGGCATTCTGGACTTCATCCTTCAGGCTCCCTTGCAGCTGGGGAGGACCATAAGACTGGGTTCTTGCCAATAGAAAGTACGTGGAAGTGATCTCACTGATTCTAGGCTTGGCCCATAAAAACTTCCCAGGAGCCTTGTTGATTTTCTGCCACTGATATCTGGATTTTGAGGACCCAGGAGATTACTTGGAGGCCCTATGGGATGGCCACACCCAAGATTTCAAAGCCTGGGTCCCTGTATCACAGCATGGGAGGCCAGCTGCTAAGTGTCTGCACCAAATGTTGCTGGAACAAGAAATCAGCTTCAGTTGCCAATCCCAATGATGGAAGAAGGTTCCAGAAGACGTGCAAGTTGTGTCTCTCAGTTGATAGCCAGATGGATATTCAGAGCCATTCTCATCACTAGCCTAAAATATCCAGCACACCCTCTCTGAGCAAACACTGACAGGCTCTGCCCGGTGGGTCTTGGAGCCTGAAGGTTTAAACAGTCACAAAAGGTTCTTTGTCTTGTCTTTGACATCATCTGCTTTCTTTTTCATCAACTATCTTCCATTTTTTCTCACTTAACTTGAACCTTACATTTCTACATGCATGTGGCAATGATGATCATGATAATGACAGCCAGCATTTATTGAGCACTTACTATTGACCACTCTTCTAGATATTTTATATACTATATTTCATTCCATTCTCAAGTATATTAGGTAGATGTTATTACAGTCTTTATTTTACAGATGAGAAAATGGAGGCTTAGGAACATAAAGGATTTGCCCACTGGACTAAATCCACAGAGCCTAGTCCAATGCAGGTTGTGTATTCATCGAATAAAAGAATGAAAATCCAAGAGCCAAGCATGGGAATTAGTGTTAAATGGGTAGCGAGGCTTGGCGCTCTCAGACAGCATTTTCCTAGAAATCTGTGTGAGAAACTGGACTTTAAATTCTTTTTCAGAATCAGGAAGACCAAGCAGCAGCCTAAAGTCCCAAGTTTGATGTAGAAGATATTGTAAGTACTCACTCCATGAAGACCACTGTTGAAGAAAACTCTTGGCTGCAGTCCATGGGTGGTTCTCAGAATGCAAGGGCTTCCTCAGCCACAAAACGTCGGGGCAGACAGAAGGACAGAGTGGTAAAGAGACAGTCTTCTGGACTCAGACTGCTGGACTCAAGACCTCTACTTGAGATCATGAGTGAGTTATCTGAAGTGTCTGTGCCTCAGTGTCCTTGTATGTAGAAAGAGACTAGCTGTGAAATGTGAATGACATAATGTCTGCAAAGCACTTAGCACAACATCCAGCATCTTTGGAGCACTCAGTAAAGGCAGGCTATTACTACTATCATTATCTTTATCATTATCACTATCACATCACCATCACCTCCCCTGCCACCAGCACCATCCTTCAAAGAAGCATCTCCTTAACCAGCAGCATGTAAAATGGATTGATCGAAGAAACTGCAGGCTCAAAGATCAGCCTGAAGGCTCCAACCCCTGTTATTTACAGACTTCTCAAAAGGTTTACAAGATGATGATGAGATCAACTGGTCAACCAAGGATATGTGCAGTATGCCAGGCACAAAGTTAATATACAAAAGGCAAGTCATTTCCCTGTCAATGAGCTAGGCAAGGGCAGACAGGTACTAGCAGCAACAGCTGGCATCTCTGTGCCCAGTTCCTACCCCTTCTGCAACAGACGGGTCCTGCCTGGGCTCTGTGTCGAAACACAGGGGTCTCCATCTCACCTGGCCGGAGCGTCACCAAGATGCTAACGCTCATACTAACAGTAAGCGAAGTAACAGTGACGACAAAGGCAGAGTGATAGGAGCAGCTGTCATTCACTGAGGGGTCACTGTGGGTCAGGCATTGTGCTGCCCTCATGAAGATCTGACCTTTCTAAGTCTCAGAGCAACCCTAAGAGGTAGATATTATTTACTCACTTTAAGGTGGGGAAATTGATATTAAGAGTTGAAGAAGTTTCCCTATGGGGACACAGGTAGGGTGACTCAAATCCAGCTCACTGTCACTTACAAGCCCAGGTTATTAAGAACTTCACCATATATCATGAGGCTTTGAGCCCTGACTGCTGTAAGCCCTCTTCCATACCAAAAATTTCACAGTTCTTGACCTGGATTCCTCTTAGGAACTATTCTGGGCAATGTTT